TAATAATAATAATAATAATAATAATAATAATAATAATAATAATAATAGCACATAGAGATGGTTTAGCAGTTTCAGAGCACCTACAAAGCAGCTTACAACTCTAACTGTAGCCCTAGGGGATCTGAAGTCATCATGATACATGCACATGGTGCAAAGACATACCTGCAGGCAAAACACCCATACTTGTAAAAAACAAATTAAGAAGAGTGGGTATGTCCTGAAGACAACACCTGAGGTTGACCTCTGGACCCCAAACACATGTGCACACACATGCACCACAGCATGAACACACACGCACACATCGATCCTTCCCATCTTATGGGCTTTTCTTAAGGAGTACAGGCAGTAATATGGGCGCCTTAGCCACCTCAGAGCCCTGGGCCTAAGCGATGTGTACAGGAAATGGAAATACCTAATTGTCCTTCCTGCTCAATGAACACGGAGGACCAAGTGACTTGGCGAATATAGAGGGTCCTAAGAGCTGAGTAATTGATTGGAAAATACGACACATGCTAGGTCAAAGAAAAACCACCTTTTGTATTTGTGATCAAGCACACTTCATGAAGGATGCATTCGCTTGCTGGACTCTGCCTCCTGCCTTTCCCCTTCCATGTTGGTTTCTGCGGTGCGCGTGCAGCTCATCAGTGAACATTCAAAGCCCAGACTGCTGGGCTATGAAATCATTTAAGGAAATGTGGTTAAACTTGTCCACAGCTTGGAAGGTCTGGCTTTTGATCAGACCATAGTCAGGACAGGAAAGAGGTATTTTCAGATAAATAAATCATTCTATTTTTTTTTTTCTAGTTCTTATCCCTTTTACTTAAGTTCTCTGGATGAAAACGCAAAGAAAACCAGTTTTAAAAACCTAACTCTTAGCCAGATTTGGTGGTGCACACCTTTAATCTCAGCACTTGGGAGATAGAGGCAGGCGAACCTCTGTGAGTTTGAGGCCAGCCTCTTCTACGGAGTGAGTTCCAGGACAGCTAAAGCTACAGAGAAACCCTGTCTCAAAAAAAACAAACACCCATCTCTTTTTCCAGGTTGACAGTCACCTGAGCCAGCGTTGTAAGAAACTAATGAGCAGGAGGGAACAGGAGAGGAGGAGGAAGGGGAAACTGGTTAGTATGTACAATAAATAAAAATATTCAACAAAAAGCAAACAAGGAGCCTGGTGAGCCTCTGCGCTTAGGGTGCCAGTACACGCTGGCTCTTAGAGAAATAACAGGGAGCTTTAAACGTAAGCTTGCCTAGGGCTTGATTTCCTCCACAGGAGCGACTGTTCTCCTTTTCTACACCACGGACCCCCTTTTTATTGCTTTTCTTTCCTCCTCCTCTTCTCCTCCTCCTATTTTTGTAGCATTGGACATTGCACCTAGGCCTTTCCCATACTATCCATGTGTCCCACCACGAAGCTATGGCTCTTTCGCGTCCCACTTCTCGGTCTATAAATAATTTGAACTCCGTCACAATTTGCCAGATACATCTGGAACTCCTTTTTCTTTTTTTCTTTTTTAAGGAATGATATAATTAAATGAAAAACAATCCCACCCTGGGGAATATTTGTTTATGAAAGATAAAAGCGTTTGAGCTAGCTTGGAGTTCATATTCAGAAGCGGAAAAGACAGGAGAAGACAAAACATGAATGAGTAGAATTCTGTGTCCAAGGCAGCTAATGGGGTGTGCCAGAGAACCCCACATGATGGGCTGGAGAAGGACAGCACCAGCACTGAGCTCAGGGCTCCATCTTGTGTCAGTGGAAACTCACTGTGTGTGGTGGCCTTGGAGGCCTGCAGAGAGCGGTAGGAAGGATTCAGAGGGAGCATCCGGGTTCTCCAGAAAACCATATGCCATGATCAGCAGCTGACCTCTGCAAGGGGCTGGGCACGGATGGACATGTAGCTCCATGTTTGCCACATCTGCTAAGCACCCTCTTTTCCCATTTCCACAGGAAAATAAAGAGCCATAACTCATGTTTTTACTGGCTTATTTTAGTTTCATATTAAAAATAGAAAACAAAAAGCTAAAAACCGATTTTCTTTCATGTTTTAAATCAGGTTCTTAGGCTAACAGAGTGTTGGAAAGACAATATTTTTCTACAGTGTAGATGACACGGGCCATCTGAGGGGGTGAATACATCTTTGGGGAAACAAAAGAGAAATACAGGTAGTTTTAAGGACACAGCCATTTAAAAGTTGAAGACGGGGCAACATCTCCAGCTGTTCTACAGGGACTTTGAGACGCAACTTCTGTAAAACACAGCTGCCGCTCTCAACACTCGTGGAAGAGCTTGAAGAGTTGTTGGAACAGTCATTAGACGTAACCGAGACCTTGTCTAGCTGCCTTCTAAAGACTCGTGTTTAGACCATAGACTAGTGTTGGGCCCTTTCAGTGGGTCAGAGTTAACACAGAAACCTGGAACCTATAAACTGACCAAAGTGTCAAGAATTTGTGATGGTAGAGAGTACCCACCCCTAATGAGGCATCTGCCCCACCCTTCCAAGGCTCAGGGACACCTTGAAAGAAGGAGCGGAAAGAATGGAAGACCCAAAGACTCTGAGGTGCGAGGCCATGAGACATCCTCTGAACATGACATCGCTGGTTCACTCACGAAGTCACCATGGCTGTCTATTCAGGACTGGGCCTGCGGGTATTTCACCACGAGGGGCATAAGAGGCCATGTGGTTGGATTCCCCGGCTTGAGGGTGTATTTTTAGTTGCTGATGTTTGGGGGAAGGGGGAGTTCCTTTTCTATAGTGGTGTCATCGTCGAAAAGTTGCCAGTTCTCCAACAGATCACCTCCTATCTACATCAGGCCAGAAACACAGAGGCCACCCAAAGAGAAGGCATGAAAGCAGGAGGGAGACTTGGTGAAGAGGGCTCCAGAGGGAGAGGGAGGGGAGGAAAGAGAGAACAGGGCTAAAGTCCTATAATCCATTATATAAATACATGAAACGCTCTAAGAAAAAAATAACCAGTAGTCACGGAAAAAGAAAGAAAATAAAAGATACAGAGACTTTACCCAGCCTTCTAACTCATTCTAGCATCTGATTTTAGATGCAGCACAGAATTACAATCATAACCTTGGCATCTTCACAATCTACCCATTAGTCAGATTTCGCATATTTCAATGCCTGCTTGTATTTTTACTTGATTTTTGAAGCTTATTGAAAGTTTTTTTTAATTTTCTATGTATAAATTACTTTCCTAATTGCATATGTGTACCGTGGTGTATCTGCGATCCTCAGAAGTCAGAAGAGGACACGAGATCCCCAGACCTGGGGTTATAGACGGTTGTGAATGGAACCCAGGTCACCTGCGAAAGCAGCAAATTGCCTCTTACTGCTCAGTCATCTCTCCAGCCCATCTGTATTTTTAAAATACAGTTTTACAACATATTGATGAACACCAAGAGTCAAATCATGCAGGAGCTCCACTGCAAAACCTCTTGGGCACCCTTCAGTGACCACAAGCACCTTTCTGCTCCCTTTATGACAGCGGCTTGGGAGCCACTAGACCTCCCTCCACCTCTAAGAGCAGCCATGTCAGAAATAATAACCTTTGAAGATCGGCCTTTGAGTCAGAGGAGAACCTCAAGTGTCTTCCATTGGTCTTCACCATATTGCCTTGAGACAGGGCCTCTTCCTGTTTCGATAGGCTTGGTCCTGGGGAATTTGCAGGTCTCTACACCCAATGCTGGGGTCACAAAGATGCTCACAGTTTTTTCCAGGGGTGCTGGGATTTGAACTGAGGTCCTCATGTTTACAGAGCAAGGGCTCCTACTCAGGGTGGCCTCTCAACTCCTAGATTGGCTTTCTCAAAACAGTTTCATTTCCCTGAGGGATGTGCAGGGTGGTTGGACCAGTAGCCTCTCCCTGTCACTGTGCGCTCTTCCCACACAGGGCTTGTTTATCCATTCCTACTTATTGTAAACCCTCTGAGGAGGTTAAGGAAGTCAGTGAGCAGAAACGCCCAAAGCACAGACTCCATCCACACAATCCCTGAGTGCAGAATCCAGGAGTTTGCTAAAGGGATGCTCACCATGAGACATTCCAACTCTGCGATGCTCTGCAGGGTTGGCAAGGTATCCTTAAAATACCTTCGGCTGGTGAAGCAGCACACCATGACGAGAAATATGGGCTTT